AAAAATCAAAGGCAAGTGATTGTTTTTACTTAGAGGCACGAAAATTGTTTAATAATGAGTTTACGTTCAATTCATTCACCAAAGTCCATTGTACAGAAAACGTGTCATGTCAATCATATATTAAAATCAGTCACTGTGAAATGTCGTCCGACTAATAAAATGTAAATTTTAATTCCTTACATGATGTATGTTATGAAAACCCATAAAATGTAAGTTTTAATTCCTTAAACAATGTATGCTATTGTTTTAATGTAAAAAACGTATATCTTAATTCCTTACACAGTGTATGTTATTTCTTACACAATGTATGTTATTATCCTGGTAAAAAAAAAACCAATATGTATTTTTTGACATAAAATGATTATCATTAATTTTTTTACAAAAATTGATTGGATACACTTATTTTATCATTAAAACATCTTTATTTTTTGCAGTAATTTGTGTACTTAAAACATACTTATTTTCCACTTATACAAAAATAAAATTTATATAGTATAAAAATAAGTATGTTTTAAGTATTATTAACTTTAGAATAAAAAATTAAGAATTATTAAAAAATTCAATTTGTGCATTTCCTTTTTAATTTTTTTACACTTATTTTTTAATATCAACAAACACACTTAAATGTAACTAAAATATGCCACATGAGTTTGTTACCAAGTTTTTATGATTGTTTTTCTTATTTATAGATAAATTTTTTTAACATAGGAAAACAACAAAATTAAACCAATTAACATTTTTTTATTTTTTTGAATGAAATTTTGATAGTCTGTTTTTTTAGCTTTGATGTTTCGCGAAAATGGTTGTGTTGTGTAATAATAGATAAATTTTTTTGGCACAAAAAATGTATTCATTTTTACATCATTTTTGTAAATTCTTTTTTTTTTTTGGCAAATTCTTAACATTTTTTTGTAAACTAAAATGTAAAGGCTCGGTAACCAAGCAAGCTATGTGAATAATCTTTCCACAATTGTATTTAAAAACACTCAATTAATAGTCTATCAGTGAGTTTTTTTGATTATATTAGTAGAGAATTTTTTATAAAGGTTCAAAGTTGTCAATTTTATTGATTTTTACTATTTTGGAGGTGTCACAAAAATTTCAAAATAACATTTAAAAAATCCGCATATATGAAAATTTATTATTGATGTTTATTATTTTTGATGATCAACCATTGTGACCAACCCCAATAATGGATGACAATCCATGATCAAAGGTAAAATGTTGATTTGATGAAGTCAATGAAAAGTTGAAAAGTAAATAATATATTAGACTGTATAACAAAAAACCAAGCCTATGTATTAAAAACATTCAATAAAGAAATACTATATTAATTTTTTTATTTATTATAAACATTTTTTTTTTATCAATTTGAAACTAAATTTCCTTCCCTCCCAAATTTGCGTAATGATCTTCAAGCCAATAAAATTTAATTTTTACGTGATATCTGGAAGGGAGATCGTCACAAAATATAGTCAATGAAATCAAATGTCCACTATGCTGATAAAATAAAAAACAACAATGAATTCAATTATTGAAATTAAATAGCTCTTAAATGTAGAATAAACAAATTTTTTTATTTTACCAAACAGTTCTCATCGGTTGGAAAAAAAAGATATTTATTACTATTGCACGATAAATGTTTATCATCAAAGAAAGAAAAAGAGTCACGTAGATCGATTTCAGAAAAATAAAAAAATTTTTTTTTGAAATTTACCACCCAGCGAAAACAAAAAATTCCTTCCTAAAAAATTAGGTTTGAAAAACAAAGATTTTTGTTTACAATTGCAATTGCAACCTGTTTTATAAAACAAGCGAGCTTTTACTTTTTTTATGCATTACACAACCACTTTGCTGTGCTATGCGAGAACAAAAATTCATTTATTTTAAGTTAGATTTTGCTCCTTCTTTGTCGCAAAGAGCAAAAAAAAAAGACATCACTCGGGTCAAGACAATAGTCTATGCTATTAAATCCAAAAGATATGAATAGGACAGCCGTTTCCACTTTTTTTTTTCGTAGAGAAATTCCCCTCAAGCTATTTCAGCGCACGGAACTCAACCTTCTACATTCAGCTACTATGTCCCTATCCATCTTCAAGAGATCAAGTTAAAATTCAAGTTTACGAATGCGCACACTACGTTCAAACCATGAAATCATTTGTCGTTATACAACATTATTACAGGAGAGACCGTTCTGATGGCACAAAATTTTAACCCACGCAATTGTTGATTGACCAATCAAAATCATGAATTTAAAAATAAATGTTAATAAAAACGTTTGATTCATTCGTCAACACAAATGGTTCGAATTTAAGTAGTTGGAAGCAACCATGCGACAAACCTTTGAAATAGTCTAATAAATAAAATTGTACTATTCGAAAATGTATTTAAAGGGTTGGTTTTCAACTTGGTTGAAAAATAGCTCTCTTCCTAACTCTTCTCTTGACCATATCTCTCAATATAATCAAAATAACCTTAATATAACGAATGTCGACGAAATGATTGTAAAAGGTTTTTTTGCATGTTCTAATAAATTTTCCACCATCAACTGTATTTTTTCGTTTAATCTTTTTGTCACACTTTCTTTTAGTGCGTTGACATTTTATTTGATTTACATATTAATACAAAAAGATTAAAAAACGCGTTTTTTTACCAATCAGTCTTCACTCGAATTTGAATTAACCAATCAATTGTTTACGTACGTACAAAGAAAACAGGTGAAGTCAAAATGTTTGTTACTAAATTGGGGTTTTAATTTTATGCAAAATGAGACAATCGGTGAGAAACCTGCACGAAGGTCAATCACCTTACTGATTTTGGAAGGTGGTCATGGCATGCAAATGTTTTCGTTTCTTACTTGTGTTAATAAAGTAAAAAATACAAATAAAAGATTTGATTCGGAAATTAGGTATTTCAACAACAAATCGGCATAAAACCCTAATTTTGGCAACATCTGTGAAAAAAATAGGTCATTTATATATATATATATATGCAAAAAACAATCTCATGATAATGAAGCTGATTAATTAATATCTAAAATTTTCTTTGATTTAATTTATAATTATGTGGATTAGTTCACAATGTTGCATGTTTCGCCTAAAATATTATTATTATCAATTTCTAATTCCAGTAACAATATTAACAATATTAAGGCAAAAAATCTTTATTTTTTTTAAATTAAAAATAAAAAAAATGGGGTTTTTAATAAAATAAATAAAAAAATGTCTTTTCTTAAAAATAAATTAACCACCCCCCGTTTGGTATTTTTTTTTTCCACAAAAAGAAGTCTTGCGTGTATAAATAAATTTAAAAGAGAGTCTGGAGGAACATAACCATCTTTGAAGATGTAAATCATTTTACCTTATTCCATACTTGCGTAATTATTTGCATAGTGGTTGGAACTTAAACAATAAAAACATTTGCCGGTGTATTTTGGAAGGATATTAGGGCACTCATTTGGTTTATGACCTTTATTCCTCTGGGTGATATAGACATCTTTTGCAGAAATTAACATTCTAGTTGTGGGAGTGTAAGTGGTATTTGTTGGTGAGCTGTATAAAGGTTATAAGGTGATGGTGGTTCTTCATTAAATTTTCTTTTATAATTTTGTAGTGATGGTGACGAATGATTGTTTGTTACTAGGAAAAAAAATTACGCAGTGACACTTGTTTCCTTTGCCGATTGTGATCATTTTTATGAAATTTTGCATTTCCTTGTTGTCATCGTTGTTTTGTTGTTGTTGATGTTTGTATTATCTAGGGGTAAGTAAATAAATGGGGGGACAACTCAATGTTACACATTTAGATCTTGTGAATCCAAAACTGTCACGCCTTAAAAATTAAAAATGATGCGCATTTCATAGTAAAAAATTAAACATTACATATACACAAGTGTTTTTAAGCAGCTGATACACTAAAGTTATGTTAAAAAAGTTGAAAGGTTTATGCCTGTCAAATTATATCTTGATTGGGATAAAAATGGCATTTTTATTAATTTTTACTCTTTTTATTTATTAAGAATTGCAAATATTATTGACATTAAAATAATTTTATTCCATGGAAAAACACTTGTTTTTAAATGGTCAACAATTAAAGGAATTAGTACATTTTTTCTCTTATTAGTTGTTTGTACTCCAAATGCCCACAATAACCAGAGAAGCTCTGTAACTAAAAAAATTTTAGAAAATAAAGTTTCAGCATCATCAAGTTTTGCCCATAATCGAAGTTGAGTTAATGCAAGCACTGGATCAGTCAGTAAATTTGCTTTTTTTATTTGGTTGAGATTCTTGTCTTTTTCTTTGTTTGTAGGATTCTGCTTATTTGAATGCACTATCTTGAGATTCTCTCTGAGGCCTGCTGTACCTTTTCCTGATATGTATCCATTATGTTGTCTCCATGTTTTTGGGCTAAAAATAGGAAAAATATTAAATATTTGATACCTTCAATATTTACTAATAGGCTTTTAGACTATATGATAAAATACTAAGAATATTATTAACTTATTAGTATGCCAATACCTTAATTATTTTTTCAAAGAATATTGGTCAGATATCAGATTCTGAAATCTGATTGATGCCCTATTACCAATTTGGCATCATTTGACCAGTAAAAAGAGAACCAACAGATTATATATAAGCAATGAAAGATGGACCCTAAATTAACACAAAAGAATTTCAAATCATGCACAAACATAACAGCCTGATAGTTTGATTGGCATAGTGGTGTAGCCTTGATTTCCATGCAATTTTTTTTTTTATTATATAATTAATTATATATCTTTAATAAAACAAACATGACTTAGCTATTTAACCATTTCCTTGTATGTGAATGCCTCCATCCACCAAATATTCATGATGGTCATGATGATTATTCAATACATTTGATGTTATAATTGGCATAACAAACAATTGCATCACCCAGGTAGTAATGATACCAAGGCCATGCATAAATGAAACTTTTAATAATGCATGTCTACCCAGATCTCCGGGATTCACAAAATAAATTATTTTTCCTGATTATCAATTGTGGTTCCTTATGAATAATAAATCTGATGTTGATCACAGGTGTCAGATTTAATTAAATTTTCCCATCACAAACATGTGGTTATGTGCTTTTACACGCCTCATAACTATGGATTTTTTCCACAGGTGAGGTCCCCCACAAGTTGGAAGGCTTTGGACAAAACATTTCCCTATCTTCCCCTCAGACCAGGCTTGGATGTCACCATATGGGTATGAATATCAGCATTTGTGTGATGATTGCTGCATGTTATTGCCACACTAGCATAAAAGTTGGTGTTAAGACTGGGTTGAAAATTCTGCAACTCAGGAGGTTGCAACCTGGATTGCTGTTTTGGATTTTCCCTGAATTCAGAGTTTTGATTCCTGGGTTGCTGTAATTTTTATGAAAAGAAAAGTATTAATATTTAACAATTAATTATTTAAATGTTTATTTTGTTGAAAAAAATATATACATTGATAGTGTACATTTTCTGTGCTTAACATCCATGTGACCCTAAGCCTGGACAAAAGATCCCTTTCTATGAGTTTGGCTGGTACATCCCAAAGGTGTCCCCTGTCTTGTCAGTGGCATGCCTACTCACCAACAACCTACCCCATTTACTAAAATAACAAATTCAGTTGGTCAGATAAAAATTAAAGAGAAGCAGAAAATTTGGGAAAATGTGTAACTTATAACATACCAAAATCCGAACCATTTTATAAATTTTTCCTTGTTGGCCATATTGCTGACAAGGATGTATATAATCATGCAATAATTTTAACCTACAGGACAGAGGACTGATTGGGCAAAAACCCAATCCAGTCCCCTATTCAAAATCATTAAATTGGTTAAACAGAGAATTTACGAAAATGATTATACAAAACAAACACTATTTTACAACTTCCCTCTTAGCATCAGAGTCCAAATGAAATTTCAATGGCCACCAACCCTGCTCTGGATTGCGACCTCCTGTGCTTGAAACAAGCTGCAGATTCTTTTAATATTCATCTGCAGAGTTGCGACTTGGTCACAGTGCCATCCTTGCCTAGAGGCGGAATCGTTGCAGGCAACATTTCGGCCAGCGTGCCAGCAGCCATCTCTGGTCTGGGAAGATTAGTGAAAGTGTCATTGACGATTGGTGCAGTCTTGGTAAACTCCAGGACATGTCCACACCCCCCTGGAGTTCGGTAGCATCATTGTATCATCGGGTGACACTAGTCAGATTAGCCTTATGTACACGAGGAACAGGTGAATGACTGTAATGTGTTCAAGGCAGCGTGCGTGCGTGCTTCAACACCTGTAAATTTCCTGTAATCAAACATTGCATATTCGAAATGTCTCTTTTTTCAATGGTGTGCTGCCTTGATTTCTTGTATAGTAATATATATAATATTTATGATAATATTATTAATGGTCACGAAAAACAAAATATTATCAATGAAAATCTTGTAATTACCCAGCAAGATCTGCTCCGCGTTTTGATTTCCATTAAAATATTTATTATAACCAATAAAGACAACAAATATATATATCAATTCAAGTAAAAAATAGTACCTCTGGTTAGTTATTAAAACGTCTTCTTTAGGAGACCCAAACCAAACCAAACAACAACACTCATGTTTTGTCACCTTGGACACCGTCAAAAAATAAATTGTTTTTCCAAGAAAAAAATCAATTCGCGTCTGTCCTACCAAAAAAAAAACCAATAGGATAAATAATCAATGTGTATGCGTCGATCAAATCATAAACTTCTTTTTAAAAATTTTTATTGATGCCACGACAACACGACAACAAGAAAAGAAAACAACAACTAGAAGAAAAAGATATCGCTGGGTAAGTGTTTTTTAAGGATGGTGGTGGTGGTTATCGCCCGCCACCTGTCGTCGTTACTCTAGTTATTTTTAAAAATGAATATCGTCATTTCTAGCTTGTTAAAATAAATTTTTTTTTTGTATTCCATATTATTCATTTTCTTCTTAAAACATAATTTAAATGATATATTGCTTAAAAATTTTCCAAATCATTTGTTAAAAAAAGAAAAACTGAAAATTTTCGTGAAGATATCGCTAGCCTAGGTAAATGCTATTATTATTAGGATGGTGGTGGTACTTGCAACTTGTCATCATTCTAATTTTTTTAAAAAAAATTTTTAGTAGCAGAAGAAAAAGGAAAGAAGAAACGAAAATCAAAGAATCCTGTGGGTAAGTATTGTTGGAGAGTGAAAAGATAGGTGAAGGTGGGTTTGCAACTATATCTAGTTATTTAAGAAAGAATGAGGGTGGTGATTATTGATTTGAACGTCATTCTAGTTTACTTTATAATTAATCCATATTTATTTTCAAATCAGTTGACGAAAGCTCAAACAACAACAATAATAACGATGAGAATGCCAATACATTAATAAATAGGAATAATTGGAAGTTACAATCTGGAATCACCATCAAGAGATTATTAAAAGAAGCGACAAATCTCAGTGGACACGTAATGAGGTAAATTGAATCATTCCCAAAATGCTTTATATTGAGAAGGTACAGTAAATCAAACATCTGAACTAAATATTCAAAAATATGCCTTTTTTAATATTATACAATACACTAGGTTGGAGAATTGGGGAGTAATTAGATGTGGATTAAACATTTCTAGACCCAAATGGTGTGCAGAAGCTGATTATAATGAAATCCAGCAAATCTGTAAAAAAAAGGCACCATATATTTCTCCTTCAAGAACATTAAAGGAAATCGTTAAGCTGGTATTGCTTTGAACATTTTCTTTTTGTTATTAGAATTGAGACATTCCTAAATCTAATTATTTTTTGTTCACAGGACCATAAAAACAAGTTGGATAATAATAAATTGGTAAATATTAATCAAGAACTCAAAGATCCACTCACTACCTTTTCGATAAGAATTTTAAAATATTTGTAAGTAGAAAACTTACTTGAACTACTTACTATCTTTGCCTATTTTTGCTGTAATTAATTCTCAATTTTTAACCATTTATAGATTTGAGTTTGTTTATCCCAATAACACCATAATACAACGTGGAAATATATCCGAGAGTTCGTACAAATTGTACGTAATTAATATTTGTTTAATGAAGCTTTTATCTGGACTACAAGATGATTTGATATATAAACCGTAAGTGCTATTTTAGTTATTGTCTTTATGTAGCATAAATTAATAATATTGACTTTCTTTCTTATATAAGGGGAGAGATAGCATTATCATCAATCGAATCTTATCGTAAAAGGAAAAAGGAAAGTGATTACGAACAAAAATCGGACGGTGTTTTCTTGATGTGTTTGAAAAATCATTATATTGAAATTGGTCATGTTGAAATTAGTGGTGGTTATGGTTGTATAGATAAACCACGATCCACCTGGGATCATCTTAAAGGTGCAGTCGGAAATATTTATATGTTAGGAGACCTTTCATACTGTTACAAAAAGGCTTCCTACAGGACTTTTTCAAAGATTCAAGTGTCTTCTTGCATGGACTTGGTAAATTACCTTTTAATTAAATACTTTATTGTGTCATTTCTTGATATTTAATTGTTTACACAATCTATAGACAATCATTTGGAACTTTGGAGAATGTCTAACCCCGCATCTGGTGTCTTAATATTCGAAAGAACTCATAAAGTCGTTGTTCCCATCGATTGGGATAATCAACAAATATATTTTTTTAATTTTATTAAATTATTATGGGATTTAAAGGTAATCACCTTTGTTGTTTCATTTGATTCAGTCACATTCATATAAGTATTGTTTGTTAATGGATTTTATCTGCATAGCTCTGCTTGTTAGATACAATCGAATCAATCAAAAAATTACATGAAGAAAACCTCGCCAATATGTTTGAAGAAAATTATAGACCTCTCCATGGGAGACTTCCGATGCATTCGCTCACCCCATGCAAAGAACAACATCGTGCAGGCATTAATGCGATTTGTGTCGAGAGCGAAGACGAAAGTCTCTCTTCCCAAAATATACGATTAAATTTTAATAATACTAATTCGAGAACTTGATAGATGGAAATTTCAAAAAATATTGCTAACACAATTAATAATTTATGATTACATTTTAATAATAGATAGATGGAAAAATTTCAAAAAATATTGCAGATTTCAATCAATGTATACAATCTTTATGTGATAACACATTAATAATTATTTATATTATTATAGCAATAGATACTGGATTTAAATCAACCTTTGTTATAAAGAGTTCCAAATAAAATATTTTTATATGCTTCTTTTAATAAAACTCGTGACAATTTAAAAGTTATTAGTTTCTGTTTTTACTAAATTCAATTCGTCTTGTTTTTTTTTCCAGTTTTTTGCTATTTCCTCTAAACTTTAATAATAAATAACCCCCATAAAATAATACTCATATGAAAGCACAAAATATCTACATCTTTTCATCCACTTTTCAAGGCACTCAACATAAAGCTGAAAAATAATCTCAGCTCTGAAGCAAAAAGTGACACTGTTTTCAAATAGGGTTAACTTTACATAGAGAACGCCTATCAATATGAAAAAACATTCTTTAGAAAGCCTTAAAGATGTAGATTTTCTTTGTATTAATCATCATTTTTGAATCTGTTATAAAAGGGAAAGAATTATTACACATTTAAAAAAATGTTCAAAATTCAAAGCTATGCATCCTGGAGTGTATGATCAATTTTTGGATCAGATAGTTCAAACAGTGGAATCTCTGAGCGAAGTAATTCTAAGAAAATTTGTCACAAAACATTAAATCTTTTTTTTTTTGATCAATGGAATGATTTATTTATTATTGGATCAAACACATCCTGCATTAGACAACACAGCAAAGTGGGAAATAAGAGATATTTTTGTTGATGGTCTGGAAGTTCCATTTTTTCATTTAAAATTGCATTAAGAACTTACATATATTTTAATGTTGAATAAAACTTATTTGGGTAAAAATGTTCACGTGATTTGTACATTTATTTTTGGCCATTTTGGTCAAAAATAGGCCAATGGCCAAATACCAACACTGATTACAGGATACGGCAAACAACTATACAAATGACTAAATCTTGATCCCTGAAATTCTTGGTAACATCAATGTTCACTTTGTCTGGTTTTGTTGCAGCATGCCCCATATTAGAAAACAAAATTTCAAAATGCTATTTAAAAGGTTTATGGAATTTATGTATAAAGTTGAATCATTGGCATTAGATTTGTTTCAAAAAACTTCAATACTTGGTCCTAATATTTTATTGTATATAAACAACAATTGATACAACAATTGCTATCTATAAATGCATTTCAATCTTTAATTAACAACATATGAATGATACCCTATCATGTGAATCTGTTATAGACAGTGTTGATTTATATATAGGTCATATGAAATGGTTTCAGATGCAATCCAATATACATATACAACATTAATTAATAATATCCATAATAGAGGGAGATTTCAAATAGTAAAAAGTTGGGAAAAAAATCTGGTATAAAAAGATCCATTATAGAGAAAGTGGACTGTAATTAAAATAAAAATTTGTCACACATATGCAATTATAGGTAATTTCTATGGAGAAATTAAATTTGATATAAATGGAGATAATTTAGTGGAATCATTGACAAAGAGGAACTTAATAAGAATGGAATTCAACAAAACTTTTTCTCCAGCACCATAAAAATAATAATAGAGAAATGAATTCTAAATATATTATTAGTTGTTAGAATGGTGCTTCTTTATACCTCTTTCTAATGCTCATGTAGAAAGAATATTTTCTCAAACAAATTTAATTAAAAACAAATTGAGAGCAAAATGCATTTAGATACATTAGATGATTGCAAATCATTTATCAATCAGGTAATTTTTTATAGATAGATACATATAAGATTGGCAGGGCTAAGATAATTCTTTCTTATTTTTCAAAAAAGTGACTACACCACAAATTTCAAACATATTACAGTCTGGGATTATACCATAAATGGATGTGTGGTGATCCCGCCTTATATAGTATCAGAATTTTCTAGGGGTTTTCTATAAAAATTTCTAACACACGAAAATAATATAATGACAACTTCATTTTTTTTACACAGAATTTATTTTTATTTTTATAATAAATATACAGTTGGCAAAAGAAACTTAATTTATTTTTTTAAATTTTATACATGGCAATAAATAATGATGATGATAATAATAATAAAATAATAACTAATTTTTTTCTTTAACTGCTGTATGAAAATAACCCATTGTTTAACTATGAATCCATTTTGGAAGAAAGAAATATTAATACAATGTTATATATATAATAAAAATTGTTAAATAATAATATATTACTTACTGCTTTGATGATCACGTGCGTAACAATAATAGTGAAAAAAAAGAAATATTAATACAATGTTATATATTTAATAAGAATTATTATTAATAATATATTATTACTTACCACGCGTAACAATAATAATAAACCCCCGTTAATACAATAAGAATTATTAGTGATATATTATATTTACCTTGACGGTTGCATAATAATAAATAAACCCGTTAATACAATGTAATATATGTATACAATAAATTATTATCAATAATATTATTAGTAATATATTATTACTTACTTTGATGGTCGCGTGCACAATAATAAATAAACCCGTTAATATTATATTATATATGCATACAATAAATTATATGTATATTATTACTTACCTTGATGGTCGCGTACATAATAATAACAATAAACCATAATAATAAACCTGTTAATACAATGTTATACAATAAATATTATTAATAATATATTATTACTTATCACGTTAACAATATAGACTACATCAAGTTCTTCTGATCTTCGTTTTTTACCAGCATCTCTTCCTCTATATGGCTCTACAATTAATAAATAATGTG